CTCTAACTACTTGCGTCAAAGCGGCTGTTGCACAGTGTCCTTGTTCTACTGTTTCCCAACACAGATTACTGTAACCCACACACAGGCCCACAAGCTCGCAAACACGGAGGTTCTGTTTTACGACACCACAGCGGAGGTTTTGGTAAATGTTTTATGAATGGGCTTTGTCGTGTATGCGGCACACCTGGCCTTGGCTGCAGGGGAGGGTCTGTCCAATGTCTACTGATATGTTTGTGTGGGTATGAGGACAGTACAGGTTGGGTTTTCCTTTTAATGAGTAATCAGTCTTTTGGCCTGCACTCAGCTCAGTACTGTTTGTCCAGGAAAGAAAGCTCCTTTTCTGATTAGTCAGAGCTTCAGATTTATTATGTGTGTGACTGCCCATGCTTTTTTAAAAAACAAGGCGATGAAACCCTCTATTGTTTTTTTTCATCTTTCAGAGTAAGTCCTGGCACAAGCTGAAGACCATGGTTCACTGGTCCCCCTTTGTCGTGTCCTTCAAGAAGCGTTACCCATGGGTGCAGCTTGCTGGCCATGCAGGTATGTGTAAATGCAGGATATTTGTACACCTGCATATCAGATGCATTTATATGGAGGTTCCTTCTAAGAAAAGAACAAAAGATTTATGCTACTGTCGTATCTACTGAAAGGCTGGCAAGCATAAAGTTTAAGGGCAACAGTGCCGGCTCTATCCTGCTCACTTGTACGCCTTTTTTCAGATCTGCAGACAAACAAAAATGCACAGACATGTTGTAGTTTCTGATCTTTCTGTCTCATGCGTCATTAATTTTCTTTCCCTATCTTTCTCCAAGGTAACTTCCAGGCTGGGGAGTACGGGCGTTTGTTGAAGCGATACTGTGAGTGTGAGCAGCAGTGCCTGCAGAAGCTAATGACGGACTCTCTGCGCCCCTACGTGCCCGGATATTACGGCATAGTACAAAAAGACGACCATGACTACAACCTGATGGATGACCTGCTGGCTGACTTTGACTCGCCTTCCATCATGGACTGCAAAATGGGCAGCAGGTAAGACTTGGCACGTGACAAAGAGAGTGTATTTGTGTAAAAAGCATTTTTCCAAAAACAGCTTGTGCCTTAGGAAGGCAAAATGATTCTTGAGAGTTTACCTTCACGCACATTTACTCTTGAATCGTGTATGTAGAATGAAGGCTGTGCAAACATTTAAATCTAACCCAAACTCTCAGGACTTACTTGGAGGAGGAGCTGACAAAAGCCAGGGAGCGTCCACGTTTGAGGAAGGACATGTACGACAAAATGATTGCCGTGGACCCCGGGGCTCCAACAGAGGAGGAACGGGCCAAGCAGGGTGTCCTCAAACCGCGGTACATGCAGTGGAGGGAGACACTTAGCTCCACCGCCACCCTGGGCTTCCGGATCGAAGGCATTAAGGTATGAGGTCATGCTGAACACACAAACACATCTAGCCTGAAGACCTCAGCTTCAAGAGAATAAACAGCTGTGCTTGTTGCTGCAAAGACGTAAACCAATCAGCGGGAGTAAACACTTATCAGTTTGTTCACAAGACAGACCACGTGCACTGGGGTGAAATGGAAAATGTGGTTGGTTAACATGCAGTCATTAGGGGGACTGTTTGTTCTTTCGAAAATAAATCCGAGGCTGGTTATCAGTTTGTGCCAATAGTGAATTTGCATGCTACTCAGAGACTAAAGAAAAAATGTGATGACACGCAGTGTATTAAAGGCTCGCTGCAGCTGTATTTTCCAGTTGAACGAGTTCTGTGACTGTGGAATTTATTTAGAGCCATTTGTTTCCACCTCGAACCTCAACAAAAAACAACTGTTAAAACCTTCTGTTATCCAGATAGTAGCGTGAATCGGCATGTATAAGCTGAAGTGAGTCATTATGACATTTTTGATGGTTTCCTTTTTTTCTATATAGAGAGCTGATGGAACCTGCAACACCAACTTTAAGAAGACAAAACACAGAGAGCAAGTGATGCAGGCCTTGGAGGACTTTGTCGATGGCAACACTCAGATTCTGGTATGTTGTTCAATTGTTATGTTTTGTAAATGCAAAAAAGCAAAAAGCAGGAATCAGCAGCTGCTTAGTTTAACTCGGCCGGTGAGAAGAGGAAACGGCTATCGTGGCTTTGTCAGCTCCTCTGTAGGTCACTAATAGGTTGTTCTGTTATTTAGAGGAGTCTCTCACTGACTCGCATCAGACACACAGACAACAAGCTGTTACTTTGTTCTTAGATTTGTACAAATAAGACAACCAGATGTGGCATGTTCATTAGTAAATCTTAGAGATGCTGCTTTATGCTCCACCGCTTCTCGGGTCTGCACTGTGCTCACTCTATACAGGACTTACATCCTTGTTTCACGCGGTAGCACCTGCATCAAACAAGGATGTAAGGTTTTACACTTACCTTTAAATAAGAAAGAAGAACAAAAAGTGTTTTGTTTGGGTTTTTTGGCTCCAATTTGCAAATTCCCACAGTCTCAGTTTCTGTGTCCTTTTTTTCTGTTTTCCTCAGAAACTCTACCTGCAGCGGTTGGAGGAACTACGCTCAGCCCTGGAGCAGTCACAGTTCTTCAGGACACACGAGGTGAGACGGACTCCGTTCTGACTTCTTCTAACAGACCTGTTGTCTGTGTTGCTGATTTGTTACAATCCCATCAGCGCTGCATACTTAAACTCACTGGTCTTGCTGGTTTATCGATTGCAGGTTGTGGGCAGCTCTCTTCTGTTTGTGCACGACGCCTCAGGAAAAGCGAAAGTCTGGATGATCGACTTTGGAAAAACGGTCCCCTTGCAGACACCTCAAACTCTCGACCACAGGACTCCCTGGGTGGAGGGCAACAGGGAGGACGGCTACCTGTGGGGACTGGACAACCTCATAGACATCTTCAGCACCATGCTCCCGGAGACTCCTTGAGCGAGACACAGGACTGCAGTAAGAGACTGATGGGATGTTGAAGAAGATTATACAAACTAAGAGTGACAGAGGAATGGCTAACAGAGGGCCACCACTTCAGTTACTCCTTTCAGGGCTCACACCAAGTGACTTTATCAACTTGTACCAGTGTGAGAAGGGTGGGCGAAGTGGAATATGCCAAAAGGTTAACGTTATGCATTATGTGGAATAAGGGGGCGGATGACACGAGCTGTTAAATTTAAAGCACAATTGTAACTTTGTTTTGTTTTACTTGGGCTGTGGTTTATTTTCTGAGAGTACAGGCCTCTGCACTCATGGACCTTTAGCAGTCACTTTTTATTGCAGAGACTCATCTCGCTCCTCCTCACAGCTCCCTCTGTTGGCGAGAGGTGGCCAGAGCAGCCACCTCCTCAGCCGTGATCTTGACCAACAGGAGCGTGTTTTTGTTTTTGTTGTTTGTTTGTTTTTTGAGCCTCTGAGGAGTGTTGGATTTTTTTTTTATTTTTTTTATCATGGACCACTTTTGATGACTAAGTATACAGCAACACTAAAAGCAGTGGTCAGACCACGTGTTAACTAACTCAGCATGTAAATACAGTTTAATTTAACTTTGTTTTGTTTTTTCCTGCCTTGGTATAGCCTTCTTACTGTGTTTGTATGATTTCTGTGCCTGGCTTTTTAAAAAAAGAAACTGAGCTATCTGATCATTCCACTTGCAGTGGACTCGTGCTATTTTACTTCCAAAAGAGTTCACCCAAGTATGAATCGATTTACATTGAAATCCCACAGTTTTAACTTTTCTTGGAAACAGAAAGTTTTTTTCTTAATTGGACTTTTGTATGAAAATGCAGTGATTTTTAGTAAGAAGCTCGACAGCCTTGTTTGTCTGAAGTTTGTTGCACTATGGATTCTCACAAAGCCATTGAACAAAACATGTCTGTGCGTCTCCAGCAGAGGTTTAAGTATTGGGTTTACTGTTCAACGTAAATATTTCTGCCTGTTATCTCGATTCGCTGAGCAGTGTTGCTTTAGTCTGTGAAACTGGAATTACCCGATTAATCTGATCAGTTCGTGTGGGCTCTGACTTACACACAAACTCAAAACCAAAAAAAAATAAAAATAAAATCTGTGTATGAGCGATGACGGGTGTCTGAGTAAAACAGAGGTTAAAGGACACCGCTGTAAACATAATTAAGCTAGGATAGACAGGAGGAATGTGGGTATTTACATTTTTGTATGCAACATTGAAAGTTTACAAAGAAGCGACACTGTTATACGTGCAGGCCGTGCTTGTGAGCATGTGCATCAGATCCCGACGGGAATGTGACGCATTGGTGAACGTCAAGTGTCCAGTCTTCCTTTGACAGTGTCAGGCAGCACTGTTTAGGTGGGTGGGGGTGTGGGCGTGTGGTTAACTCGGCACGAACATTTCCCACACAAGTGCTGTGAACGCGTGACTTAACAAGATTGGAATTCGAATTCAGGAGTTTAGATTTTTCATCTCCGAAGGGTAAACATGGCAGGAGAGACGGATAGTATAGTGTTTACAAAGTGTTAAAAACCTTTGCCCAGAAAGTCTCTATATTTGTAAAATGTCAAACTATCAGGTTTTCAAAGAGGGTGCTGCTTTGTAAGCAAGAAAACTGGATTCGTGACCACATTTTGTATTTCAAAGGCAGCGCTTTTCACAGAAAGAACAGACGGACTGATTGAAACTGTTTATAAACCTCTGCTTTGTCCAGACGGTCGTGGATTACAATAAAATGAAAGTGGAGAGTTTTCAGAGTTTTGGGGGATTTTTATTGTAATTTTTTTTTCAGTTCTTTGTGCAAACACACACACACCAAATCATATACTTTTGTAAAAGAGCGCTGAATCAAGATGATCTAACATTTAATTATAAATTTAACACTACTGTAAGAATATGTCCTGTTCAGTCAGCTGTGACCTTTTATCACAAGTTTCTAAATAAAACCAGATGAATCATTTTGTGTTGAACTGTCCCTGAAAACTGAGATGGTGGAAACTTTGTGTAAAAACTAGATGACAATTTATTTTTGGTTGATAAGAAAATTAGCAGTCCACAAGTACAGAGACAAGAAAACCACCTTAATGAAGATCAGAATCAAAATACTTTTATAATCCCAAAGGAAATTATGTAGATGTGACAGAAGCTTCTTTTTTTTTTTAAATTTTTATAAGTAAATTAGGAATCAAAGTGCTAGTTTATCATTTTGGCTGTAGAAATTTCACATTTAGATGAACTTGCATGATTTAGAGGTCATACTATGCCTCAGCGCTGAGGAATGGCTTGCGATTTCCATCATCTGTCAAACATGCTGGAGGCGCTGTTATAGTATGGGCGTATCGATGGTGTGACTGCTGACAGAAGCAGCAGGACGACTTCTGAAGTGTGCATGACTTCTGCTCAAATTCAGCCAAACGCTGCAAAACTGGTGCTTCATAAACAACCTACAAGCTTCTTAAGGGGGACAAACTGTAAGCTTATAAATGGGTTAGTCACAATTATTTAACTAAGCCGGATTTTTACTTGGTAACGGGCCTGCAGGGAGGAAATAAAGCATTTCATAACATCCAGCCAGGCTTCATGCAGTCGCCAACTGCAAATGAGGTTCATCGGAGCAGATTTTATAATTATCTTAGTTTATCTGATTGTCTTTGAGCCCATGGAAACTGATGGGCTGTTCACATTCATTTGTCTACTCACACATTTTAAGAGTGCATGATCAAAATGACTTCCGCGTCTTTCTTTTTTTTTTTGTACAACAATGGTTCAAAATTAGAGAGAAAACCATGATTTCACACACCAGTTACACAAAATTCTGACGGCATTGCAAAATCAACAAGTCTTCTGATCTTGTCACACGTTAATGGCCAGTGTGAGTTACGGGTTGAAGCCAGCATGTATCCTGTAGTGTCTGTAGGATTTGAGTTGAAGGAAACTGAACATTTATGGCTCTTATAGATGTTTCACCTCCTAACTGAAAGGCTTTTTCAGTTCTAAAGGCTAATGAGGAGTCTCGGGTATTCAGTATGTCTTCAGTGTGGTTTTTACCGTGGAGGCGGTCTTTAACTCACCCTGTAATCACGCGTCACTGCTACATGAGTCAAGATATAAATTCTTTGAACTGCCTTCAATTGAAGCGGTTAAAACTACCGTGATGTGGATGATTGAGGACCTGCACAACTAGAAGTATGTTTTCAGCGCCTGACAAAAACACTGCAACAACCAGCACAGGCTTTTATCGCCTGACATATTTTCTATGCTCTCTGCTCCATAAAAGCATTCATTTGAATGACAGAAAAGTAAACCTGTTTGATTTAGCAGTGTTTAAACAAGCTCAACAGCAGCCAGAAAAGCAACATTTGAAACCCTATTTCTCCACTCCTGTTTAAAGTGGGGGGTTTTTCACCTCACTCACTGTTATCACTGTCAGGAGGAATTTCCCCCGACATGCCCATCCTGCTCCTTCCAATATTTTCTGTCAAAATGTTTTTAAAGCCGCCTATACTGTGCAAATAAATGTGATAATAAGCGGCAGCATGAGACACGATAGCAAACACACTCACAAACATTATTGGACTGCTTTTTAAGGTTTTTGACCATTCTGGTTTGCTGCAACCATATAAAAAACTTATCTGAACAAAGGACTGAAGGTCATTTAACACCGAGAATGCTGCAAAAAAGCAACATAAAAGTCAGAAATTTCTTTATCCAAACTTGCTGGGTAATTTATATACACCGAACGTGTTGTGTTTTTCAAAAAACACTGTGAGCAAAATGAAGTAGATGTCAAACTGAGAGGAGCTGAGATTCAAACTGAGATTCTGGGTTCATCAGATTGTCACGAGAAGGAAGCAGCAGGGAGAACTTGATGGTTTGATCCAGGAGTTAAAGCTGTGTCACAACTGCTTTCGTGCATATTTCAGGATGTCAGTGGGGCAGTTCGAGCTCTTGTTGGCAGAGTTGGGATTGGTGGAGGTAGAGGAATCTTTTCAGAGAGCCGACTGACCCAGAGCAGCGTCCAGCTGTGCATCTGACGTAAAATAGTATTACGTTACTATTAAGTATATCATTGCATATTCGGTACTGTGCTATGAGCATGCTTTTTGCCAAAAGCAGTGATCTGATTGAAAAATTGGAAAGATTGAGCTTGGTTCGAGAAAATAAATGTTCCAAACAAATTCCTCCAGATAAATTACACGGTCTGTCTCCTTAACTGTTTATTTTAAAATCCATTAAGGTGGTGTAACAGGCAAAAATTACATAAACACTGTTCCTCTCCAAATAAATTGTGGATATTCTAAAAAAAAAAAAAAAAAAAAAAAAAATATATATAATATATATATATATATATATATATATAATATATATATATATGTATATATATATATATAGCTTTTACAGTTAAACTGACACAATCCTTGTTAGTGGAAAATTATAAGACAACTACACATTTTACAAAAACAGTGACCAGAGCATGGCTGAACATGTGGGTGTGGCTTCTCCCTGATAACCCTTACTTTAAAGCCCTTTTAATTAAATAAATAATGTGTGTCTGCTTCACTGTGTGGATCTTGTGTGGAGCATCACCGCCTTTCCAGCCAGACCGGCCTCCACCCCTCCTTTGGGAACCACATACTTGGTGCCATCACTGGCTCTCTGAGGGTCCATCATCCTCAGCTGCCCATTGCTCTGAGCTACAGTGTCCAAACTCCACAGCTGGTAGCGCAAGCTTTTACCTTGCTTAGCGAGGATGTAAACATCTCTGAGCGCCGTGCTGCCGGCGGGACAAGATGAGCTGCTGTCGGCGGCGAGGTAGAGCCACGGCAGAGAGGGATCAGGCTGAACATGCTCTTTACTCACACTCCCCTGGTCCACACCGAGGAGAATGCCTGGAATGAATAAACTCTGTTACTGTGTGGTCTGATTAGTCAAACTAGGCTCACTTTAAGGGAAATCCTACATAATAAACCCTGCCTTAGGTTGGGTTAGCTATTCATTCTTACCTGAAGCAACTGCCCAGTGCGCTCTGTGGCCACTACGCTGGCACGGCTCGTGGTTGTAATCCTCGTCATAGCTGTAAAAACTGTCAAGGAGTTTTGCTTTTCTCTTTAATCACAAATCCAAATCTACTGCTTTTCCTTCACAGCAACCCTTTCCCCATGGTTTGGTCCAGGATACGGGATGAGAACAGGCTGTCTCCCCCACAGGTGTGAGATGATGGCTGCAGCATTATTACCACTCAGACCCCCCGAAAGGAGCTTGGCCTTGCAGCCACACACCTCTTCTGCCAGCAGGGCCATATTGTCAGCTGACAAAATAAAAAGCTTAATGAGAACATAAAGAAATCAAAATTCACCAGCTTGAAACTGAATGTTTACTTGCTTGTGAAACATTAAATTAAATATCGGCTGCAAAATGTGTCATAAAGTTCCAAATGTTTAATCACAGCCTCCACCTGTTTCTTTTGCGTTTTTTTTTTTGCTCCCAAATACAAACAGACCTGAAGAGTTCACACATTTTTATTTTATACCCGAGAACATTTCACCCTGAGCCGTGTATCCCCTGCTCAGAGCTGTCTGAACCACCGTCTCCATGTCGACACTCAGCCGCGGCTGCCGTAGGTAAGCAGCCATCCACAAAGCCACCAGACCACACCTACAAAGTTACCAGAAATAACACACTGAATAAATATGTCACCCACTCACGTAAAAGAAGTCAGGTAAACCAAATAACTAAAAACAATAAAATACTACAGAAGTTTAAAATTGTTGTGGAAACTGGCGTGCTATGCAACATACTTCTTAACCAAAAATAGATTGAGTTGTTGAGTGACAGGTATTACAGTGACACTTCACTTTAGTGACTTACTGTGGACCATCTTGAATGAGTGATGGCACGTAGGTGTTCGCCAGAATCCACTGCAGGTCCTTCCTGAAACTGAAGAACAAACAAATGGCACTGCATAACATGAAGGCATGGAGCTTGTTAACCGTTTATCTGCTGCACTTACACAAATGAAAAAGTTTTTTTCTCAGCCATGAATCAATTCTAAGCATCAGTTCCATATGTTGTGTCATATTATCTGCATCAAAACTGTAGCAGTTTACGGCATGTGAGTGTTTCCTATCCCCAACTGTTTCTAATCCCTGCTTTCTGATTCTTTTATAGTCACGTGTTAATCAACTGGCTGATAACTGTATTGGCTGCTAAGGTTTCAGGATACTTTGAGGAGTCAAATGCCAGCATTATAAAAAGCTTCTTTCACAGGACTATCATGTACAGTACTGTGCAAACGTCTTGAGCCACCCTTCATTTCATCCCGTTTTGCTATAAAATTTGAAATAGGTTGTCTTTGGATGATGACTGCTTTTCATTCAATTCAATGGAATTCAGTTTTATTTATACAGCACCAGATCACAACAACCGTCACCTCAAGGTGCTTTATATTGTAAGGTAGACCCTACAATAATACATAAAGAGTAAAACTCAACAACCATACGACCCCCTATGAGCAGGCACTTTGGCAACAGTGGGAAGGAAAAACTCCCTTTTTAACAGGAAGAAGCCTCGAGCAGAACCAGGCTCAGGAAAGAGCCGCCATCTCCCGTGGGATGAGGGGGGAGGGGAGAAAGACGGGACAAAAGACATGCCACGGAAGAGAGCCAGAGATAATTAATAAGTAATGATTCAACTCAGAGAGGTCTATTAACACATAGTGAGTGAGAAAGGTGACTAAAGAAGCACTCAGTGCATCATGGGAATCCCCCAGCAGCCTACACCTATTGCAGCACATAGTTAGTGCTGGATCAGGGTCACCTTTATTCCACTGACACTGTGTTTGGAATCATTGTCATGCTGAAAATGAATTTGTTGCCAGTTAGATGCTTTCCAGATGGTACTGATGGTGGATCAAAATGTGATGGTATTTTTCTGCATTTATAATTCCATCTCGTGTAATTCGGCATACCTCAGCCTTTTCTCCCTGTTTTCCTTCCTTAAGAACAGCTTCTTGAAAGACACACTTTCAGTGAGACCATTTCTGATGAGGCTTCAGTGAACAGTAGATGGATAAACTGAAAGGCCAGATCCATCTGATTCTGCTTCCAGTCTTTAATGGATTTCTTCTTATTTTACAACGACATTTCTTCCAGATATTTTTCATCTGCTGAAGTTTTTTAGGCCTTTCACTTCTTTTGTCTTCTATTTTGCAATTTTCTCAAATATTTAAGAACACACTACACACCAAGCAAAAATACCATTTTATGTCTGCCAAATTGTATTATCTGACACTTTTTCATAGATTCAACTAAAGAAATGGGAACAAATTATGTTTTTATATAATAGGCTGCTAGTAACAAAGTGCCCAAAGATACAATTTAAAATAAGTACTTTTCCAAGTTGTCTGTAATGTGACTCACACTGACAACGGTTTGAGTTAGGTTCCCTTTTTTATGCTATGATTCATAGGTCAATATTAAGTTGCACAAAAAAGATTATTCCTCTGAATAAACGTCAAATGGGAGGACTGGACTGAGAATGAGTGGAAAAAGCAGCCAATGCCCAAAGAAAAACTTTTCAAAGACCTTCAGAAAGTCTGAAGAACTATTGTTAAAGACCAATTTAAAAAAAATGACAAGAAGGTCTCACTCTTGGCTCAGGACTTTTGCCCCAATCTTGACATTCAGTTTTATTGACTCCATGTCAGAGATATATTCAGGCAACTCTCTGTTCTTGGGGTTAAGCTACAATGCAATAATATCACAATATAATAGGATAATGCAACTTTGTAGCAAAGTTGTAGTAGTACTCAATACAAAACAACATAACCATCAGAGAAACACACTCTTTGTATACAGTCCATTGTGGTGTCTGTGCGTGTACTATTTTTAAACTTTTTAATTAAATAACAAATCTCTCACTTTACTACTGTCTTTCATCCTTCCTGTGAGATTCATTTTCATCACTGCAAGCTAGTTAAGGTCTCTCTTTACTTTAATTCATAATTACAGCCATTTAGGTATATTACAGTTATTTGTTATATTTTGTAACTTTGTAGCATTATTTCATTTAGTTTAGCTAGTTACTGTTCTTAACGTCTTGGAGCAGCTGTGATCACATAATTACCTGTGTGATTAATAAAGTATCCTGATTCTGATTGTGGGACACTTATCGACTCATAAGTTCATCCGTTCAGACATCTGACCAGGATGCCTCCAGGACAATACAGGAGAGGTATTTTGGGCCGGCCCAGGACACACTGAAGAGATTATATCTCTGAGATTTTCCCGAGCAAACCCACTGTCCCCTCAGGAGAGATGGAGGAAGATGAGAAGGAGGTCTGCTGCCCCCACCACCCACATAAGTGGCAGAAAATAGATGCATATATTGCTCTGTCAATACTTTATCTCACTGCTCACTGGTTCTGGATTATATAACTGTACATTCTGAGATGTGTCCTGGTCCGTGGGTTTTGTTATGTTTTAGGTTTTCTGGACTTTAGATTTCTTTTCACTGTTATTCCTTAAGATTTTTATTTTTAAGCTTTTTACTTGAATTCTGGTTTATATTGGTTATTAATAGGTAACTCTTTGTTTAGCCTAGCCTCCCCACGTGTCTTCTTGTATCTTGTAGTTAAGTTGTTGTCTCTGTGTTAGGTGTCCCTCTGTTACATTACTCACTTGGTGAATCCTTGCCTCTTATGTTTGGTTTTTAGTTCCTGTGTCTTTGATTAGTTTAAGCGCATGGTTGTGTTGTTTGTCCCTAAAAACATCATCAAAGATAAGTTACACAGTCATGGCTGATTATGCTGCACATGGATTTTTAATCAATAACCTGTATGGCTGTGCTGGCAGATGAAACATTTGAACTGCACAATGGATCCGCTTGATCAACTTGAGCATGACTGTGTGTGACAAATGTCTGCCAAGCATGTGAGCACTTAAAAATGTGCAGACTACTTTTGTTTCCTGTGTTTTATTCACACCCTCAGGCTCCATAGTCGAATCTTAATCTGATAGCTCATTGTCTATGAGGCTGCAGTCAGGCGCCCTGGTCCTTTAACCGCGTTACAAGTGGCGAGCCAGCCAGGAGCCTTTGTGTGTGAATATTTTGGGGTCTTACATACAGTTTTCTTTACTTATTTACTTCGCTTTTGCTGAACATAAAATCAAAAATGGATTCAGTTGCACTTTCTGGCATAAATATATCACAGTCTGTGATGATCTCCGGTGTGTCTAACACAAAATCCGATAATGAAATTCTTGACTACTTGCGTACTTATGGGAATCTTAGCCGTCATTTTTACGTAAATGATCCCGCAAGTACTTTCTTCAAAAACCTGATCGCTGAGTTTGTAGATACCACTGCTTTTACAACTCTAGAGCCGTTTCTGCCATACACCCACTGTTCTAAAAGTGTTGCCGACCTTGTTTTCCGCGTCACAGCTTTGGCCTGTGAGTACGCCGCCACGGAGGACAGCAGCAGTCCCCCTCCCAATTACCTCAAAGAGCTCAAGCATATTGCTGATCGCAGCGGGCACCGGTTTGAAGATGTCTTGAAGACAGTAATGAGGCAGATTGGTCAACATTTGCATGAAGCAGGAGCAGGTGATGATGGAAAAGTTGAATATGATGAGGAAAATGGAGTAGATGAGGACATTGGTGTAGAGGAAGAAGAAAGGGAACTGGAGCAGCAGCAATTGTCTTCACCTCCTGCCAGACAGGTTTCCACTGACCAGCAGGGGGCACGACCTCGTCAAAGCCAGACTGGACCAACTCCAAGAGTATCACTCACAGCCCCTGATCTCAACCCACCACAAATACAAAGGGTTGTTGTTGAGCATGTGGTCCGAAACCCAGACATAAGCACCACAACTTCACTACGTCTCCGTGCTTTTTCAGGAAGGATTCCTAAGCCAAGTAGTGAAGCAGATTTTGAATCATGGCGTTCCCAAATTGATCTACTGCTTGCCGACCCCAGTTTGTCAGCTCTATACGTCGCCAGGCGTATTATAGAGAGCCTGTTGTCACCTGCTGCTGATTTGGTTAAAGGTCTAAGTCCCAACACATTGCCTTCAGTCATACTAAGTGTACTTGACTCCGCTTTTGGAACAGTTCAAGATGGTGAAGAATTGTATGCTCAATACTTAAACATTCTTCAAAATCCAGGTGAACGACCATCCGCTTACCTCCAAAGATTGCAGCTAACCCTCAGCACTGTTGTAAAGCAAGGAGGACTTGCAGCTGCTGACATGAATAAGCATCTGCTGAAGCAGTTTTGTCGTGGGTGTTGGGATAACACTATACTAACCAAACTACAATTAGAACAGCAAAAGGACAACCCACCACCTTTCTCTGACTTGTTGTTGTCGTTACGGACAGAAGAAGACAGACAAATTGCTAAGGAGTCACTTATGAAGAAATACATCGGTTCATCAAAACAAAAAGCTAACATCCAATCCCAAAGTACTTGTTCTTGTGGGCACTCTACAGCCAATGAAGAGCTAAAAGAAATTAAAAAACAACTCCAAACCCTCCAACAGCAAATGTCCCAACTTTTGTCCCAAAAACGTCCAACCGAGTCAAAGTTTAAGCCACGACAAACCAAATCCAGTCATTCTTCACCTCAGTCAAATACCAGACCCAAGCCATGGTACTGTTTTAACTGTGGAGAAGATGGCCATGTTTCTTCCATCTGCAACAACAGAGCAAACTCCAGTCTTGTTGAACAGAAAAAGAGCCAATTAAGGAAAAAACAGCAAGAGTGGGACGCTAGAAATACTTCATCTTTAAACTAGAAGGAGTTTCTGTGGTGGGACACACAGGAGCTGCGTGCACGAACAGTCCCAGAAACCACAACAAATTTCCATTGTTGCCAAAAGGGCTTGTGGGGACCAAAAGCACAGGCCAAATTCAAATCAAAGGCAACCATTTCAACTG